GCAACAGCAAACGAAACCCAAACCCAGCAGACAAGAAGAAATAACAAAAACTGGGGCAGAAATTAATGAAATTGAAAGAAAGAAAACAACACAAAGAATGAATGAATCCAAGAGCTGGTTCTTTGAAAGATAAATAAGACTGACAGCCCGCTAGCCTAGTTAACTAAAAGAAAGAAAGAGCACCTCCAAATCAACAAAATCAGACACCACAACAGACACCAGAAAGATACAGAACATTATAGGGAATACTTTAAAAACCTATGTGCTATAAATTTGAAAACCTAGAAGAAATGGATGGATATCTAAAGGCATGGGAACCAACAAAACTAAATCAAGAAGAGACTTTCAGGAATTTAAAGAAGATCTACATCTAATACTACCTAATTTATTCAAACAGATAGAAATGGAGGGAGAACTTCCACATTTCTTCTATGAAGCCAGCATCACTCTAATACCAAAGCCAGGTAAAGATTCAACCAAAAAAGAAAAGTATAGACCCATATCCTTAATGAATATAGATGCAAAAATTCTCAACAAGATACTTGCAAACTGCATACAGACACACATCAAAAAGATCATCTGCCATGTTCAAGTCAGCTTTATCCCAGAGATGCAGGGATGATTCAATATACATAAGTCAATAAACATCATAAATCATATAAACGGGCTCAAAGAGAAGAACCACATGGTCATCTCAATAGATGCAGAAAAGGCCTTTGACAAAATTCAGCATGCACTTATGTTCAAAGTTGTAGAGAGAACTGGACTGGAGGGAATATACCTCAACATATTTAAGGCCATATATAACAAACCCGCAGCCAACATCATTCTAAATGGAGAAAAACTGGAAGCATTCCCATTGAAATCAGGAACCGGACAAGGCTGTCCACTATCTCCACTTCTCTTTAACATAGTGCCTGAAACTTTTGCAAGAGCATTAAGACAAGAGCAGGAAATTAAGGAGTAATAATTGGAAAAGAAGAGATCAAATTATCCCTTTTTGCAGATGAGATGATATTATATCTAAGAGACACCAAAAATTCACCAGAAAACTCCTAGAAATTATCACCACCTTCAGTAAAGTGACAGGTTACAAAATTAATCTACAAAATTCTGTAGCCTTTCTATATACCAATAACAAGCAATCAGAGAAAGAGTACATGGAAACATTCCCTTTCACAATAGCTTCAAAAAAAAAATCTCTGAATAAACCTGACCAAAGACATTAAAGACCTCTACAATGAAAATTTTAAATCTTT